GATCAAATAAATTGAAATGATTGTGTTTCAAATAATATTACCATAAAATACATTAAAGCTTATGTAAATATTAATACATAAAAGTTAAGAGTTATTATTTAACAAAAGTGGTATTATAACTTTGTTTGTGCAATCGATAAATCGCATTAGTTGTGCATTTATTTGTTCGTAATCTGAGAACAAATATTTATAAAGTTACATATTTAAATTTAAGTTGAATATTTTTGTAGAAAATGTTTTAGTGTTTGAATGTATTTGTCATTTATAATACAGATTAAAAAATATATTAAGAGTGATTAATAGTTTACTGTAATCTTTATTAAAAGTAATATATTTTACAATTTTAATGCATAATCTTTCTCTTTATTATATTTTTAAAGTTTATAAAAGAATTTATTCAAGAGTAATATATTAAAAACAATTAATTTGTTTTGAAGCGTGGGTACAATAGGATTTCATAATGCCAATACTGCAAAGGCTATCAAAGTTACCCCGAAATTTATATTCTTTCAAAAACATTATTCAAAAATATCCAAAACGAAATGAAAGTTTCTTATCAACATCTAGACAATCTTCAAGGTTAAAAACTGTATTGAAAGCAAGTTTAATAGGAATTTCTGTTGGATTTCCTGTTGGTGTAGTTATTACAATTAGTTATTCTTGGTATGTAAATAAGGAAGCTTCAAAAACATATCATCTTCAAGGAAAAGTGCAGAAAATTGAAATACTTAAAGAAAAACCTCAAGTACCAGTTTCTCGAAAGGTATGCTGAATATCAACATAGTTACTCAAAATACTGAAACACTAAATATTACAAAATATTGATATATATAGTTTTAATTTCTATTTTCTTGTTTTATTCTATCTGGAAATTGTTAATATAAAGTGATTAATAAATCTATTAATATCATATTTTTAAAAATAAACTAAGAAGTACTATAAAATTATTCAAAATCTATTATACATGTAAATTATTGAACTAATTTGTATTTAATTTAGTATTTTAATACATTACAATGAGTTTTTAATTTAATATTTTATTTTTATTGTAGGTTGTTTCACCAGTGGATACAACTGAATTAAAATTAACTCTTTTTCAGTATCAAACATGTCCATTCTGTTGTAAGGTAAAATATCCATGTTAATTTAAGATAATAATTCTAACATATTGCTTTGGAAACAGAGTATTTAAATTTTAGTTATATTTTTTTGCAATAATAAATTACTGTATTTGAATATATAAAAATATTTTAGGTTAGAGCTTTTTTGGATTATTATGGAATATCTTATGATATTGTGGAAGTTGATCCTGTGTTGCGAAAAGAAATATCATGGTCATCTTATAAGAAAGTACCAATACTTTTAACACAAGTAGAATCTGGATATCTACCTCTAAACGATAGTTCAATGATAATTTCTCTATTAGCATCACATTTAAAAGATAGATCACAAAACATTAATGATTTAATAGAATGTTATCCAAATATAGCAATGCATGATGAAAATCAAAAGCTTAAATATGAAATCATGAACAAATATTTCTTAATGTATAAAGATACTTTGCTTTCTGTTAAAAATACAGATGCTATCATGTAAGTTATATTATTTATATTAAGTGTTCACTTGAATATTAACTAAATAATGATTGAAATTGAAGAATATTATTATTAAAAATCACTATGTAATAAATTTTGTCTGAAGCTGTTATAAGGAATTAGAAAAATATTTATATTAAAAATTATACATATTTTATGT